TTCAGGCCCCTGTGCTGCAGGAGTTGTGGGGATCAAGATGCCTCGTTATTGCCTATTTGGAGACACTGTCAACACAGCTTCCAGGATGGAATCCACTGGCCTTCGTAAGAATGGGGATTGTTTTTTTGTTTTTGTTTTTTCTCCCAGAGGACAAAGATCTGTCTTCCAGCAGAGGGGAATTGTAGTATGAAATGCACAATAAGGAGCTACAAAGTGCGGAGAAATGGAGAATGACCCTTCACATGGGCAGAAAGTAATCCTGTGTCAACCTAGTACTTGCTACGTTTGCTTTTGTTGTTGTTGTTTACTGATAATTATTTTATTCTTCCCTCTTTCCTCAGTTTCAGACTGTTACTATTATTCTTCATTCATTTGCAATGCATTCAGGCATGTTCTACCAGGAATAGTCCGGAAATTTAGCATAGATGAATGCAAGTTAAAAAAGTCAGTGGGCTAGATACGGAGTATACACCCTGCTTCAGTTTCTTATTTCCCTTTTATTTGGTTTCCTGGGAATTGCTTTTAGTAAAGGAAAAATCTAAGTGTTTGTTGTATGCAGAAGCCTATATTATATTTGCCTGGCAAGGTAGAGTCACAGTAGGCTGCATGTAATAGGTGCTCGATAAATATCATGGATAGGGATAGTAATAGAAATATACAGAAGAGAGGGGAAAGCATTGGTAGATATGGGTGGGGGTTTACCAAAACACAGGAGGCAAAATGGTATTTTAGCAATCAATAAGTTCACGATGAGTCAGAATCGACTCAGCAGCAACTAACAACAACAACTGATAGTCTAGAACTAGTTTATCCTGAAAACAATCATGGGATAAAGGGAAGAACAAGGTTGGAGTCAGAGAGACTTGAATTAAATCCTAACTAGGCAAGTCACTGGCTGTGTAAATTGGAGGGAAAGTTACTTAATCTTTCTAGGTCTCAGAAAGATGAAAATATAAATTGAGGATGGGATACCAACCTTGCTAGGAGGGATTCTGGAAGGACTTGATGTGATGTATGTAAGCACTTAGCAATCCTCTGATACATGGTAGACATATCCATTGTGAGGTCGCCATTATTCTTACTATTGTTATTGTTTGTGGCGTGGCTGCTAGGCATCCTTAGTGGCAATGGTGGTCTACAGCAATGGGCCTATGAATTGGAATGCCCTCACCGCTTGTTTGTCAGAAGGATAACAGTATTTCCGAAGACCAAAATTTGAGAAAATGAAGACTCTGTAACTCTCTGCTGAATGTTTATTTTGCCCCCAACACTACAGCTACTTATTGGAACTTTTACACGGGGGCCTAAAACAAAATTCCAACTCCCAAGCTCACCACCACAAGCCACATCCAAAACCAGGCCCCAGGGGCTACCATTCTGAGCTGGAATGAGAATCTATGGAGCACAGCTAGGGGAGCCCCTTCTTTCTGCATCCTGAAAACCAATGCCAGACCTTCTTTCTTCCCACGTGTGATAATATTTCTTATCTCACTGATAATATTTTTAAGTATTCTTCCACTAACGTATCTAAGATCAAGAACACCTAAAATAAGTGTCCCAAATCAAGGGGGAAACAAATGTAGCTATCGAACAGGTTTCAAAATGAACACAAGTTTTATTGAACTATTTTGCATTTCCAGCCTTGAGAATTCATGTGAGCGGCTCCACTATAGCCATCCTGAAGAGAACCGAGTGTCAGTTCCTATATGAAGTGAGGGGAGAAACATACTTAAAGGTAAGGAACCACAGAGGTAGTACACAGAGAGCACTCACAGACACTCATGGGCCACCTCTCTTGAGAATGGACATCCAGAATGGACACCCCTCAGCTGGTGAAATGGAGGAGCATGAAGATAAGGAATCCTTTTCTGTCCTCCCCACCATGATCCCTCACTAACCCCTGGAGGAGAAGCTGTATCAAAGAATGTGAACTCAGAACTTTCCTTTAATCTGCAAAAAACCAAAACCATTGCCGCTGAGGTGATTTCAACTCATAGTGACCCTATAGGACAGAGTAGAACTGCCCCATAGCGTTTCCAAGGAGCGGCTGGTGGATTCAAACTGCTGACTTTTTGGTTAGCAGCCAAGCTCTTAACCACTACACTACCAGGGCTCCTTACTCCATGAAGCCCTTTTGAAATTTTGATCTATGACCAATATGTGATAAAATGCTGCCAAATTTCCTCCACATATACCCAAATTTTATCCCCAGTTCCTCAAAATCAGAGAGCTACAACCTGGTCCGGGACTTATTTTAAGTCAAAATTCCCATCTCTTCACTTACTTTCCTGCTCTCACTGCAAGATGCTGCTACTCTCTAAGGCCACCTTCTTCACCTTTCCAAAGCTCTGAGCAGTGAATCTCCAGGTGTGGTCCAGACTCCTGATACAGAATCATCTGGGTGCTTGCTAAAACGCAGATAATTGCACCCCCTACCAGCCAGTTAAACCAGTTATGATGGAGTTGACTCTGACTCATGGCGACCCCATGTGTATCAGAGTAGATCTGTGATCCACAGAATTTCTAATGGCTGATTTTTCAGAAGATCATCAGGCCTTTCTTTCAAGGCACCTCTGGGTAGACTTGGACCTCCAACCTTTTGGTTACCAACCACGTGCGTTAACCATTTGCTCCACCCAGGGGCTCAGCTCCCCACCAGGCCTACTAAATAAGACTTTCTGTGGATGTAGATCAGGAATCTATATTTCAAACAAGCCTTTCAACTGATTGTGATGTACACTGAAGTGCGTCATTACTCTGCTCTCCATGTTGTTTCTTAAATTTAGAGCAGCTGCCCTCCAGAGTCACCCAACTGTCTCCAACTGGCTCTCAGGCTGTTTTCCTTAGGTCATTACGATTTTTCCACAGTTGTTCTGAAGCTGATTACCACAGCAAGGTTATCCAGCTCCAGTAGTCACAATGCTTCCGACTTTATGCTCTGATTGCAGTTTGCAAAAGCCTCCTTTTATGTAGAGGTATCCTAACATCACCCTTGCTTTTTGAGCCCTCCATGAATACATTTTTCTGCACAGAACATTCCCACCAAAATAGCAGTGCTTTTTGGATCAATGCAGTCTAAACACAGCTAGCAAACCACTATTTTTTAAAAAAACAAGTGACTTTTTTAAAATATAACCATCCAATCTCCTTTTCAAATACAAGCTCTAGCAAAGCCAGGGTTTCCGGTAAGTTTCCATTCATTTTATAGCCTCCAGATAGGACCCAGCCAGGGACAGATTAACCAGTAAGCAAGGTACGCACGGGCTTACATTTAAGCAAGGTACACACAAATTAAAATTGTGCACTACAGATTAATAAGTAAGCACGTGTAAACCTGTGCGTACCTTGCTTGTTGGGTAATCCATCCCTGGACCCAACAAATATAATTTAGCAAGTGTTTAGTGTGATGCACACGTGTTTATGATTTACAAACTTAAGGAAAGGAAGCAGTGGCAAAAAGAAAGGGCTAGAAGAAAACACGGACAATGAAAATCAGCTAGATTTGTTGGCATATCAAGATTGTAGGTGACTGGTCATCCTCTTTAATTTACAGTTCTTGTATTGTTGCTATAGTGATATATTTGAAATGTCTTCTGGGGGAAAGAAAGGGAAAATTCTACTTTGAAAAAACATGTCTGGTGAACTAGAGACTTGTTTTTAAAACCGCACTTGGAAATAAAAATCTGTCTAGAGATAATGCAAATCATATCAGAAGCACGTGATATGCTTTAATATTGGCACTGATGAGAAATTTGGAGATGAGATGTTTCTGGGAAAAAGACAATTGTAGGAACAGTGGGCTAGAACTGCCTGTCTCATCTGTGTCCTTTTTTGTCCACTAGGGACGAGGAACTGAGACCACCTACTGGCTGACTGGGGTGAAGGACCAGGAGTACAATCTGCCAACCCCTCCAACTGTGTAAGCTACTGGGTGTGGCAGGGAGGGAGAGGGACGTTGGAGGTCTTGGCTTTGTAAGTTGTGCTACGTACTGCCAATTTAATTTTTGGGAAGTGCTTTGCAGGGGGCAGTGATATACTGGACGCAAGGTAAGGGGCTGTATACCCAGGAGACAGTTTAGAAACCTCCCTTCTCTGGCTGCTAGAAATTGGGTGTTCCAGACTTGCTCAGAAGAACAGGGTTAGTTCAGAGCTCACTAACACACGTCCAGGGAGCCCTGGTGGTGCAATGGTTAAGCCTTCAGCTGCTAACCAAAAGGTTGGGGGTTCAAGCCCACCAGCCACTCCACAGGAGAAAGATGTGGCAGTCCGCTTCCATGAAGATTACAGCCTTGGAAACCTTATGGGGCAGGTCTTCTGTGTCCTATAGGGTCGCTAGGAGTCTGAATCAACTCCATGGCAATGGGAATGCATGTCTGCTTCTGATAAGAGCAGAGCATTCTGGAAGCAAAGAGCCTGTCTGCATTTCCAGCCCCGCCTACATCTCACTGCGGAGACACTTGCAAACAGGGCCTCCCCCACCCTCCGGACTACAGTTCTAGGTTTTCACATCAAGTTTGTGTTCTCCCTGAGATGAGGAAAGCAAGGTTTCAGATCTAACTAACAAGTTTCAGTTCTCCTAAAAAAAACCCTTTGCCATCGAGTTGATTCTGACTCATAGCAACACTATAGGACAGAGTAGAAGTGCCCCCATAGGGTTTCTAAAGAGCGGCTGGTGCATTCGAACTGCCAACTATTTGGTTAGCAGCCAAGCTCTTAACCACTGCGCCGCCAGGGCTCCTCAGTTCTCCCAAAGGTGACTCAGATTGTCATTCAGTTGCACATTGGGAGGGGGTGCAGCAATCAGTCACATGGCTGTTGCCATGGCTTTGGCTATGGTAGAGAAATACTTTTTTTTTTTTTTTTAAATAATATTTTATTGAATTTTTGGTGAAAGTTTACACAGCAAGTTCCCATTTGACAAGGCACACAAATTGTTCAGTGACATTACATAGTTACATTTATCACATTGTGGCAACAGACTCTTTGGGTTCAGTTTGTCCCATTCCGGCGCTCTGGTTTCCTGCCCCTTTATCTTCTCATCTGTGCTTTTGAGTAATTGTTGACTTTTGGTCCCACACTGATTGTGAGTAGGGCACTGATCTTACGGGTATATCCTTTATTTTGTGTGCCGCTCCACTGTTGCACTAAAAGGTGCTCTCAGGGGATAGATAGACTCCGTTCTAGGTTTCAAGAGTGTCTCAGGGTGATAGTCTCAGGGAGTCCTCTCCTCTCTACTGTGCTTTTGTCTGGCTTTTCTTTTTTTAATAAGAATTTGAGTTCTGCGCCATACCGAGAAATGCTGTCTGGCAGACTCATAGGTTGGGCCCCAGGCAGACGGCAAGCCTGTGGAGATGAACAAAGGTTTCCTGGTATTGCTACAGCAGAAATACCACAAGTCGGTGGCTTTCAAGAACAGAAATGTATTTTCTCATAGTGCAGGAGACTAGAAGTCGGAATTCAGGGTGTTGGATGTAGAGGAAGGCTCTTTGTCTGTTGGCTCGGGGTGGGGGGAAGATTCTTGGTGATCTTCACGTGACACCTATCTCCCCCTCTGCTCCATCTTTGTGCTTGCTGGTCCCTATGTCTATAACTCCAAAGTGATTAGGTTTAGGACACACCCTACATGGAAATGACTCATTAGCATAACAGATAAACCCTATTCCCAAACCGGATTACATCCACAGGCATAGGCGTTAGAATTCCAACACATATCTTGGGGGATACAGTTCAGTCCCTAACAGATGCCAGAACAACCTAGATCTTTCTTGGGGCCCAGGAGACCTGGCCCCTTACTAGGAGTGCCATAGTTCCATTCCAAACTCTTGAAACCCTCGAACCGTTCTGAGCCCTCCACAAATAAGCTCCACGCTCCTGGGTATGTGTGGGTCCAGTGACTTTTCAGGGCTGTGTGGCAGGGGTCTAGCAGCCTCCTGGCTTCTGTTCCCTGGCATGTTTATCCCCTTCTTGCGGTGACATATGTAATCTTAGCTCCTCCTAACCATGCCTTCTAATTCTAGCAACAGGTTGTTTCACTGTGAAATTGAAATATAATGTTCCATTTGTATGGAAAATTTGTATGACTACATTCAGCAAGAGTCCCTTTCTTAGGCTTATCAGAAGCAAGGCTCCCTTTGTAGTCTTTGTACTTCCTGCATCTAGCACTGTCTAGCACAGAGCATGCACTCAGTGAGTATTTGGTGAACTGAACTGGTTATTCTGGAGCTAAGGGGTATTCTGTATAAATTGCTGAGAAGTTCCATTCCCCCCCCCCCACCACCCCCTTTCCAGGGAGAATCAACAACGCTTGCAAGCAGAATTTTCGGACATGATTGCCAGCTCTTTAAAGAAAAGACAGGCCGCAGGGACAAGAAACCGTAAACCAACACGAATAGCCAGCTACAAAAAAGGCACTCTGGAATACTTGCAACTGAACACCACAGGCGAGGAGAGCACCTATTTTTAAACGAGGCCTACGGACTCAGGTAAATTAAATCCAACTGCACTTGGGCAGTGACCTGCCGTGTCCTGAAAGCCTGCATTGTCCTGAGACCTCAATGAAAGAGAAAAAGACTTAGAGGCATTCTGCTTAGCCTGGGCTGCCCTGTCTGGAATGCAGACTGTCTTCTATGAATCAGATGTGAGCTCTCAGTGCAGTAACTACCTTCTGCTGCAGGGAGCTTCCGCCTGGGTAAGGGGAGAAATGAATATACTATCTAGAACTTGAGGAGATTTTGCTCTTGTTTTGTTTTTGTTTTATTTACTCTTTTTCTTCCTATTTGCATGATAGGATTTTTTGTAATTGTCCCAATTATATTTTAAATGCCTACTGTCACTAAATTATATTTAACTCATAATTTTTGCAGAAAATATGTTATATTTTAGGCAGGAATAAAAGTTAAAATTTACTGTGTCTGTTTATGTGTTTCCACCTATTCTATCCATTTTCCTGGAATGCATCAGATATCATCTTGTGCTCGCTGAAAAACGGATTAAATTACCCTGCGCTGAAGCAGGGCAAAGCTAGCATTGTTGCTCAGAGGGTAAGAACCCTAAAGGTCAGTATCACCTGCTGCCCGTGAGGGGATTTTTGTGTCTATCCTTGTACCATGAGAAGCACGGCCTGAAGCTATCTGGGATAAAGTCAAGTCCTATTTACCTGTGAAGACATGACACTTCAAACTCTGCAAATATCCCCCTTCCCACCATCCAGCAAGGAACCCTCGTGGCACAATGGTTAAGCGCTCAATGGCTAACAGAAAGGTCGGCAGTTTGAGCTCTCCAGCAGTTCCATGAGAGAAAAGAGCTGGCAATCTGCTCCCATGAAGATTTCAGACTAGGAAACCCTGTGGGAAAGTTCTCCTCATCCAAAACGGTTGCTATGAGTCAGAATCAACTCAAGGGCATACAACCACCACCATCCAGCAGCCATCCCCTATCCCTTCTCGCATCACCCCAGAATGACCCATTTACCTGAAGTCTCTGGGAAAATGACGAAAGTCAGCTGCTGATGAGTAGACTCGAGTCAGGAAAGGCGAGAACAAACGTGTATTACACTTCTGGCACTCACCTTCGAAACTGAAACAACGGGCCCAAGCACATTACTCCTCTGCCAAATCTCTGCTATGGAAACCACTCCAGAGGTTGTGAAAAATGTTATGTTGTCTCTACCACCTAGAAAAGCAGAAAATAAAAAATAATAAATTGACTCCTGATTTACAGGGTGACAATCTGCAGTAAGAGTCCTTACGTGGAACCTGGAGGTTTATTTTCTGCATGTGACTTAGTGTCCAGCATGAGGAGGCTTTCTACAGGGTGTGAGACTTTGACATGAAAGTTCTTGGTCATTCATTCAGTAAACATGTATCGAGCATCTCCACTTATTCCAGGGACTGTGTTTGATGTTAAACCAAACCAAACCCATTGCCATCAAGTCGATTCTGATTCATTGCCACCCTACAGGACAGAGTAGAACTGCCCCGTGGGGTTTCCAAGGAGCAGCTGGTGGATTCGAATTGCCGATCTTTTGGTTAGCAGCCGAGCTCTTAACCGCTACGCCACCAGGGCTCTTGTGTTTGGTGTTAGAGGTACAGAAACATAGTCTGCCCTTAGAAGCTTTGAATCTAATAGAAGAGCAAGAAATGTAAAAAGATAGGTGGATTTTGGTAACAAACAGCATTCTTGACAACAGGCCAACTTAGCAACTCAAAGACCAACCAGAAAAACTCAAAATCATCTTTAATGCTAATGGGGCACTGATGAAACAACTTCTCACTTGAAGGCTCCAATGTTCACCTTCCCTCACGGAAGCTACATGATGTGCAACAGAGGTGAGGCCTCTCTTGCCCACTTAGCAGTATGATATTGTACCCTTAATGGCAGTGATGTAAGAATGGGACCCAGGCAAGGGTCAAATCCCTGATCGGCTCTTTTCTAGCTGTAAATTAATTAATGTCTCTAAGCCTTGATATTTCGTCAGTAAATCATGACTCACAGAGTTGATGTAAAGATTAAAAAAAAAAAAAATTATCAAGCACCTACCACACTGTCAATCATATAGTAGATTCTCAACAAATAATCTTCCACTTTTCTCTTCTACTCGCCTTATAAATCAGAACTAACATTCTTCAAAGCAGGACCTCCATGTGAGCTAAGTATACATAAGCACATTATGTTAATTTTTTACAGCAACCTGTAAAAAAAAATTGGCATAGCTTATAAAAATACCTCACAGGGGGAGGGGGAGGGGGAGGGCATGGTTAGCAAACAAACACGAAGATGCTCATTATTTGTGTAAAAAAATTTCAAATGTGAACAAAAGTAGAGGGAATCATTAATGAACCCACATCATCAATTTCAAGAATTTTCAGCATTTTCCCAGTCTTCTTTAATCTATCTTCCACCAACTTTGTTTTGCAAGTATTTTAAAGGAAATTTCAAATGTCGTATCTTTCATCTATAAATATTTCTGTATGTCTTTTTAACATAGGGTTGAAAAAGTTTCTGTAAAGGGCCAGATAGTAACTCTTAATTTAGGCTTCTTGGGTCAGACTGTCTCTGTAGCAACTCTTCAACTATACTGGTTACAAAAGCCACCATTGACAATATAAGTCAATGGGCATGGCTGTGTTCCAATAAAACTTTATTTACAGAAACAGATGATGGCCTGTATTGGGCTGACCTCTACTCTAACAGATCTGGAATTCATAAAAGCATAACTAAAATGCCAGTATCTCATCAAACGAAATTAACGATGATTCCTTAATTTTAACTAATACTAAGTTCATATTTATTAAATTTTCACTGATTGTTTCAACACTGATTGTTTTGTTTTGGTTTATACAATTAGTTTGTTAAAATCAGGACCCAAAAAGATCCATACGTTGCACGTGGTTGAAATGTCACTTTAGTATCTTTTAACCTATAACGGTTCCCCCATACATGCTTTCCCCTGCCCCAGGACATTTATTTGTTGAAGAAACTGGATAATTTTCCCTAGATATTTCCCCACACATAGAATTTTAGCTGATTGCTTACTCATGGTTATATTTAATTGGTTCTTATATTTTCCGTATTTCTTAGAATCTGGTAGTTAGATCTAGAAGCTTGATTACATTCAGATTCAATATTTGTCCAAGATGATTTACGTCGCTAGTGTCTCTCAGGGGAACATTTTACAGAATAATACATTTGGGATTCCAGCTCTGATTATCTGCAGTGAGACTGGATTATGATGTCAGCCTTAGCACAAACTCTAATGCCCTCCTCTCACCTCAAGCTGCCAAAATGACTGAAAAATATCTATATACCCACAGCAGTGTTGGGAAACAGGAAACAGTGTCCTTAGTAGATCAGTAATTATGAGACATTCCTAAAAGACAGAAGACATATGGGATTGGATTAAATGAGGAAAGAGTAGCCCAAAACATATGCAGAAGAAGACTGCTGGAAAAGATAGGAAGGGCTCTGAGGGTGCTCCAAGCTCAGAGGGAGCAGACAAGGTGAGCAAGGGAAAGTCTTGGTGTAATTGTCAGGGTTACTAGTCAGCACCCCGTAGCACCTGCCAATTGGTTTGGCAGCTGCCCCCTCCTTCCTAGCAGCAGACATCACAGGCATCTCCCTCCAGATGGGAACTGTGCCTGTAGACACTTGAATATCTGATCATATTCAGAAAGAATCAGGGAGTCTTGTGCCCAGAAAATTTACTGACAAACCCCACATAGCAACACATCTGTACACACCCACAGTCTCGACTGTGAAAAACAGACACATGACTCATAGGCTAATTAAAAATCTCAAATACAAAGAACCAACAGTAACTAATTTTGAGGAAATGAAAGACACATATTGATCACAACAAAGGATTAACAGTGAATACAGCAAATAGAAGGAGCTTTAGAATATGTATAACTAATATTCCAAGATAAATGTGAGTGGACAGTGCATCTATTAAATTCAAAATATGTAGTGATTTTAGAAATTTAAATTTTGAGCATTGAAATAAAATGCAATAGACGAACTGAAGGGAAAAACAAAACCAGTTGAGAAGAGAATTATGAATAAAAATTAAGGTAAGTGGTGTTCCCAGGACAGAGAATAAAAAATTTTTAAGAGATATGTAGGATAGATAAGGATATTCCAATATTGCATAAATTGAGCTCCAAGGGAAGAAAACAGAGATTACAAAGGAAGGGAATAGAAAAATAAATAAAATAATACAAGAAGTATTTTCAAGAATTGAAAAAAAAGAAAAATATGAGTCCTTAGTTTGAAAGGGTCTTCCAAATACCAAGAGATGAATTTAAAAACAAAAACAGACCCGCTCATAGACACATGTAGTAAAAAATATAGAACATCCTAAAAGCTCCCGGACGAAGAAAAAAAACTACAAAGCAACAAAAATCAGATTGGCATTAGATTTTTCACCCAAAATACTAGCAGTAGAAAGAAAATTGAGCAATAGATTCATAGCTCTAAGAAAATATGTTTATAAACCAAGATTCTTTTCACACATGCAAGTACTCAGAAAGTCTACCACATTTGAACTCTATCTGAAAGAAGTATAAAAGGAAGTACTCCATTAAAACAACAAGTGTATTCAATACAGGGGAAACCAGCACAACTTGTACAAGGAAAGGTCATGGAAGCTCCATAGACACATCCAAACTCCCTGAGGGACTGAATTGCTGGGTGGAGGGCTGTTGGGACCATGGTCTCGGGGAACAACTAGCTCAATTGGCAAAACAGTTTATAAAGACAATGTTCTACATTCTACCTTAGTGAGTAGTGTCTGGGGTCTTAAAAGCCTGTGAGCAGCCATCTAAGATACTCCACTGGTCTCATCCCTTCGGGAGCAAGGGAGAATGAAGAGAACAGGATACAAGGAAAAGATTAGTCCGAAGGACTAATTGTCCACAGCTACCAAGGCTTCCACCGAACTGAGTCCAGTACAGCTAGATGGTGCCCGGCTACCACCACTGACTGCTCTGACCAGGATCACAACAGAGGGTTCTGGACAGAGCTGGAGAAGGATGTAGAGCATAATTCTAACTCACAAAAAAAAAGACCAGATATACTGGCCTAAAGGAGACTGGAGAAACCCCGAGAGTATGGCCCCCAGATACCCTTTTAGCTCAGTGGTGAAGTCGTTTCCGAGGTTCACCGTTCAGCCTGGGAGTGGACAGCCCCATAAAACCAAATGGGACTAATGAGGTACAACAGTCCAGGGACAAGGGCCAGAAGGCCGAAGGGGACAAGGAAGCTGGTGATAGGGAACCCAAGGTTGAGTAAGGATAGTGTTGATGTGTTGTGAGGTTGTCAACCATTGTCATAGTGCAACATATGTACTAACTGTTAAATGAGAAACTATTTTGTTCTGTAAGCTTTCTTCTAAAGTGAGAATAGCAGCACAATTGGAAGAGCATAGTCAATGTCACTGAACTGTGCATGTAGAAATTTTTGAAATGGTGTATCGTTGGCTATGTCTATTTTCACCAAAAAAAAAAAGGTCGAGAAGGGAGAGGGTTGACATGGTGTGGGGTTGTTAACCAATGTCATGAAACAATATGTGTACTACTGTTTCATGAGAAACTATTTGTTCTGTAAGCCTTCACCTGAAGTAAGATAAAAAAATTAAAAAAATTAAAAAAAATAAAACAAGAAGTGTATTCAAGAGGAAGACGGCAATACTATAATAAATTACAAGCACTGACTGAAAATATTAAAGTAGAAGTGCAACTAAATCAATCAGCCATATATTTTGTCCATTTAATACCAGATATCCAGTATGAAAAAAGTGAAGCAGACTTAACAAAAATTTTAAAATGCATTTTTACCCTATTCTCTTTCTTGCAATTCTGTGGAGAACAATGGAAATAACAAATAAATAGAGGAGAAAATTCCATCTTTAAAGAAACAAGAAAATGGTCAATTTTTTAAACTACATAATATGAATCATACCAGTCAAAAACTGACATCTGGAGCAAAATAAGGACCAAAGTAAGGGAGGAAACTTGAGCCAGCTCTTACTTCTTCAGACCTCAAGAAAGAAAGTGATTTCCCCCAAAGTTACTATCACCGTCCTGAAAGGCTCATCTGTTGATCTGCGGATTGAGGCGACCAGATTTAGACCATGAGGAAACATTCCAAGATAGAATGTGGACTGTGATAAATGCATCTAACTATATTATACAGAATGACATAATCTCACTGAAGGGGGTGGTGAAGAAAGAGTTGACATAGATAACTTTTGAAAACAATATTTTCACTAGATATTGTAAGGTTAAAAACAAAACAATTTGAGAAAACACTTGAGTTGGTAAAATTGTGTCTCACAGGAGTATGGGTTAGAAATTCTGAAGCTACTTTACATGTATAGCATGTTGAGTAAATAAGTAAATATACTGTACATATTAGCAGCAGATTTCTCAGTGCCAGAAAAAGTAATTACAAATGAGCAAAGGGGAAATGCTAGAATAAACTTTGTGGTGCTGGATTGGATCAGAGGTATCAATATGAACACATGTTAACTTTAATATATATACAGATAGCTACAGAAATAAATGTAGGTAAGTGTTTATATGCTCACCCACATATATCGCTATCTCTTTCCACTGAGAGCACCTAGAAGCAGTAACACCCAGGTAACAATGAGTATCATCTAGATCTTGGTTTCTAAATATCATTCTTAAAAAAAAAAAAAAAAAAAAAAACAGAGCTCCTTGGAGAAGTGATTGATTTCCGGTCTGGGGCAGGAAAAATACAAGATAAATTTGGAATATCTTGTATTGCCAGAAAGTAAAAAAAGTTTGGGATAGGTCAAAAGGACACAGGAACAAACCTGAAAGAGCTCTCAATGACGAACTCTGGAAGAAACTGAAAAATAAAATAAATAATGACAGTTTTGGATTATAACCGAAAGAATAAAGTAAATACCACGATTCCATACTGGCATAAATAAATAATTAAATACAGAAATGAGGGAGAAGGGACAACTCTTTCTGAGAGAAGAATTTCAATTAATAAATTCAAAAGAAAGGAAGAAAATAGAATCATCATTAGAACACCACAGTAATAATTGCTACAGTCAAGATCCACAAATTAATATTAAAATTAGTGGGTGAAAGTTTAATGAGAACAGGATATTTGCATAGTTTTAAAGTATCTCCCTCCCCCCACAAATTTATTAATTACCAACGAAAAAAATATTAAAGTGGAGAAACCTTCAGACACCACCTCAACCAAATGATTAAGGTTAACTTCACCAGTGTCTGATATGATTCAAGAGAGGGTCCTACTCCAAGTAGCTAAAGCAATGTTGAAAGAGAAGAACTAAGTAGGAAAACCCACATTTCCTGATTTTAAAGTCACAGTAATCAAAACAGACTGCTACTGGTATAACAATAGACACACAGACAACGGAATAGAGTTGAGAGTCCAGAAATAAACCCACACATCTATGGTCAACTGATTTTTGACAAGGATGCTACATCCATTTGATGGGGAAAGAAGAGTCTCTTCAATAAATGGTGCTGAAAAAATTGTATTTCCACACGCAGAAAAATGAAACAGGATTCATGCTTCACACCATATACAAAAGCAAATCCAAGATGGATTAAGGACTTAAACATGCAAACTAAAACCATAAAATTCTTAGAAGAACAAGCAGAGGCAACATTGCCAGGCTTACCTTTAAACAACAAATTATCTAATATTATAACAAAACCATAAATAACAAAAGACAAAATAAATAAATGGGACCTCATAAAAAATTAAAACTTTTGTTCATCAAAAGACTACCAAAAAAGTGAAAAGAAAAGCTACCAAATGGGAGAATATCTTCAGAAACCATATATAATATGGTTATAATAATTAGAATACATATAAAATTCTCCCCCATGCATCTGTCAGTTTGTCATACTGTGGGGGCTTGCATGTTGCTGTGATGCTGGAAGCTATGCCACTGGTATTCAAATACCAACAAGGCCACCCATGGCAGACAGGTTTCAGCTGAGCAACCAGACTAAGACAGACTAGGAAGAAGGACCTGGTGGTCTAATTCTGAAAAGAATTAGCCAGTGAAAACCTTATGAATAACAGCAGAACATTGTCTGACACAGTGCCAGAAGATGAGCCCCTCAGGTTGGAAGGCACTCAAAATACGACTGGGGAGGAGCTGCTTCCTCAAAGTAGAGTTGACCTTAATGACATGGATGGAATCAAGCTTTCAGGACCTTCATTTGCTGATGTGGCATGACTCAAAATGAGAAGAAACAGCTGCAAATATCCATTAATAATCGGAATGTGGAATGTATGAAGTATGAATCTAGGAAAATTGGAAATCGTCAAAAGACAATCATATGGTCTAATATACAGACAATGACAATTTGAAGAGGAATGACATTGCATTCATTGTCAAAAAGAACATTTCAAGATCTATCCTGAAGTACAATGCTGTCAGTGATAGGACAATATCCACATGCCTACAAGAAAGACCAGTTAATACGACTGTTATTCAAATTTACGCACCAACTACTAAGGCCAAAGATGAAGAAATTAAAGATTTCTACCAACTTCTTCAGTCTGAAATTGATCAAACATGCAATCAGGATGCATGAATAATTACTGGTGATTGGAATGCGAAAGTTAGAAACAAAGAAGGATCAGTAGTTGGAAAATATGGCCTTGGTGATAGAAATGATGCCAGAGATTTCATGATAGAATTTTGCAAGACCAGACTTCTTCATTGCAAATATCTTTTTTCAACAACATTAAACAGTGACTATACACATGGACTTTGGCAGATGGAATACACAGAAATCAAATTGACTACATCTGTGGAAAGAGATAATGGAAAAGCTCAGTATCATCAGTTAAAACAAGGCCAGGGGCCAACTGTGGAACTGACCATCAATTGCTTATATGCAAGTTCAAGTTGAAGCTGAAGAAAATTAAAGCAAGTCCACGAGGACCAAAGTACAACTTTGAGTATATCCTACCTGAATTTAGAGACCATCTCAAGAATAGATTTGACGCCTTGAACACTAATGATGGAAGACCAGATGAGTTGTGGAATGATATCAAGGACATCATACATGAAGAAAGCAAGAGGCCATTAAAAAGACAGTAAAGAAAGAAAAGACCAAAATGGATGTCAGAAGAGACTCTGAACGTTGCTCTCGACTGTAGAGTAGCTAAAGCGAAAGGAAGAAATGGTGAAGGAAAAGAGCTGAAGATTTCAAAGGTCACCTCAAGAAGACAAAGTAAAGTATTATAATGACATGTGCAAAGACCTGGAGATAGAAAACCAAAAGGGAAGAACATACATGGCCTTTCTCAAGCTGAAAGAACTGAAGAAAAAATTCAAGCCTCAAGTTGCAATTTTGAAGGATTCTATGGGGAAGTGTTAAACAATGCAGTAAACATCAAAAGAATCACTATACCAAAAATAACTGATCAATGTTCAACCATTTCAGGAGGTAACATATGATCAGAAACCAATGGTACTGAAGGAGGAAGTCGAAGCTCCACTGAAGTCACTGGCAAAAATCAAGGATCCAGGAATTGACGGAATACCAACTGAGCTGTTTCAACAAATGGATGCAGTGCTGGAAGTGCTCACTTGTCTGTGCCAAGAAATTTGGAAGACAGCTACCTGGCCAATTGACTGGAAGAGTTCCATATTTGTGCCCATTCCAAAGAAAGATGATCCGACCAAATGCAGAAATCATCAAACAATATCATTGATATCACACGCAAGTAAAATTTTGCTGAAGATCATTCAAAAGCGGCTGCAGCAGTAAATCAACAGGGAACTGCCCAAAATTCAAGCTGGATTCAGAAGAGGATGCAGAATGAGGCATATAATTGCTGACATCAGATGGATCCTGGCTGAAAGCAGAGAATACCAGAAAGATGTTTACTTGTGTTTTATTGACTATGCAAAGCCATTCGACTGTGTGGATCATAACAAATTATGGGTAAGATTGGAAAGAATGGGAATTCCAGAGCACTTAATTGGGCTCATGAGGAACCTGTACATAGATCAAGGAGGAGTCATTTGAATAGAACAAAGGGATACCGGGTGATTTAATGTCAGGAAAGGTGTGTGTCAGGGTTGTATCCTTTCACCAAACTTATTCAATCTGTATGCTGAGCAAATAATCTGAGAAGCTGGGCTATATGAAGAAGAACGCAGCATCAGGATTAGAAGAAGACTCATTCACAACCTATGTTATGCAGATGCCACAACCTTGCTTGCTGAAAGCAAAGAGAACTTGAGGCACTTACAGACGAAGATCAAATACTACAGCTTTCGGTATGGATTACACCTCAACATAAAGAAAACAAAAATCCTTGCCACTGGACCAATAAGCCACATTATGATAAATGGAGAAAAGATTGAAGTTGTCAAGGATTTCATTTTACTCTGATTCACAATCAACACCCATGGAAGCTGCAGTCAAGAAATCAAATGACAAGTTACATTGGGCAAATCTGCTGCAAAAGACCTCTTTAAAGTGTTGAAAAGTAAAGATGTCACCTTGAAGACAAAGGTACACCTGACCGAAGCTATCTTAGGCTGGGTTCTCTAGAGAAGCAAAACCAGTGAAGTGTATAAATATATACAGAGATAGATTTATATCAAGGAAACAGCTCACTCAGTTGTAGAGGCTGGAATGTCCCAAGTCCATGGATCAGGATAGAGCTTTCTCTGGATTCAAGTAGCCACAGGGGCTGGTGAACCCAAGGTCAGCAGGTTCTGGAGAGCAGGGCTCTTGCTCACAATCTGTGAAGATCAATGAATCCCGAGATTGGCAGGCAAGATCGCAAGGCTTCTCCTGATTCACCTAGCTGTGGGGGCTGGCGAACCCAAGATCAGCAGATCGGAGAGCCCAGCTCCTGCTCATAGGCTGTGAAGATCAACAAATCCCAAGATCAGTAGATAAGCTGATAGCTCAAGTTCCAAGAATCAGAGGTCAGATGAACAGGATGCAGCTATAGGACCCAGAGCGATCAAAAAGCCAGAACATCTGTTATATTTGGATACAGGCCACACCCTCAAGGAAACTCCCTTTCAACTGATTGGTTACTCACAGCAGATCCCATCATGGGAGTGATCTCATATAAACACTGAGAATAATGGCCCAGCCAACCTGACATACAATCTTAACCATCAAATAAGCCACAGTATTTTCAATTGCCTCATATGCATGCGAAAGCTGGACAATGAATAAGAAAGACTGAAGAAGAATTGACACCTTTGAATTATGGTGTTGGTGAAGAATATTGAACATACCATGAACTGCCAAAAGAATGAATAAATCTGTCTTGGAAGAAGTACAGCCAGAATGCTCCTTAGAAGCAAGGATGGCAAGACTACATCTCACATACTTTGGACATGTTATCAGGAGGGATCAGTCTCTAGAGAAGGACATCATGCTTGGTAAAGTAGAGGGTCAGCAAAAAAGAGGAAGACTCAATGAGATGGATTGACACAGTGGCTGCAACAATGGGCTTAAGCAGAACAACCACTATGAGGATGGTACAGGACTGGGCAGTGTTTTGTTCTGTTGTACATAGGGTTGCTATGAGTTGGAATCAACTTGACGGCACCTAACAACAACATATAAAACTTTGAAAACTTAGCAACAAAAAGACAAATAACCCAATCAAAAAATGGGTAAAGGACTTAAATAGACATTTCACCAAAGAGGACATTCAAATACCACCAAAAACATGAAAGGATGCTCAGTGTCATTAGCCATCAGAGTGCAAACCAAAACCATAATGAGATACTATTTCATTCCCACTATGGATGGCTAAGATAAAAAAACAGAAAATAACAAATGTTGGTGAAGATGTGGGCAAACTGGAACACTTATCCATTGTGAGTGAGAATGCAAAATGGTACAGCTCTTGTGGAAAACGACGTGGTGTTTTCTCAAAAAAACTGAAAATAGGACTACTATATGACCCAGCAATTCCACTCCTAGGTTTATATCCAAAAGACTTGAAAGCATACATTCAAACAGAGACTTGTACACCAATGTTCATTGCAGCACTATTCACAATAGCCAAAAGGTGGAAACAATCTAAAGGCTCACCAACAGATGAATGGATAAACAAAATGGGGCACATACATACAATGGAATGCTACTCAGCCAGTAGGAGAAATGAACTCTTGATATATGCTACAATATGGATGGAGCTGGAAGACAGTACGCTTAGTGAAATAAGTCAATCACAAAAGGATAAACATTATATAACCTTACTTACATAAAAAGACAAGAAAAGGCAAATGTATAGAGAACAAAATTTATTAGTGGTTACCAGGGGTGGGAGGGACAGGAAAAGGGAGGATTAATGATGATGGAAATATCACATTGATTAAAGGTAGTGTTACACAGCTGATTGTTGTAATTGCTGTGAATAAGTTGTACACCTGTAAAAAGTTGAATTGACAAAAGTTGCGTGATATATTTACGACAAAAAATAGAGTTCTGTATTTTTATGCAAATAATGCACATCTTCTACCTTTACTTGCCAACCACGCCCTCTCCCCATGAGACATTTTTATAAGTGCACTATGCAAATTTTTTTTTTTTTAACAACAACTTGAAAAAAAATTGGCAGCGCGGCACTTACAAAAATACTTCACGGGGGGAGGGCGAAGTTGGCAAACAAACGTAGAAGTTGTGCATTATTTGTGTAAAAATACAGTAGCTGCTGAGGCTGCTCCTGTACAACCAAAAACCTCATGGGGTTTGATTCCTTGGTTTGGAGGTTTAGGGTCATGGTTTCATGAGATATCTCAGTTAATTGGCCTAATAACATGTTTAGTGCTTCTATTCTACCTCCTGGTTTGTTGCAAGTAGGTCTTAAAATCTTACAAGTGGCCATCCAAGGCACAACAATTGCTCTCTATTTACCTGGAGCAACAGAGAAAGAATAGTCAGGAATAGGAGGAGGATATGGAATGTGTGGCTAATTGCCTGCCTGAATAATTGCCTCATTGGCCATGAGAAAGAAGAACTGGGTGATGCTTGGCTACCATTACTGAACATTTTAATCAAAGATTCTATAGAAGTAAGGGAGAATGAAGAGAACAGGATACAAGGAAAAGATTAGTCCGAAGGACTAATGGACCACAGCTACCAAGGCCTCCACCAGACTGAGTCCAGTACAGCTAGATGGTGCCCAGCTACCACCACTGACTGCTCTGACCAGGATCACAACAGAAGGTTCTCGACAGAGCTGGAGAAGGATGTAGAACAAAATTCTAACTCACAAAAAAAAAAAACAGATTTACTGGCCTAAAGGAGACTGGAGAAACCCCAAAAGTATGGCCCCCAGACACCCTTTTAGCTCAGTGGTGAAGTCATTTCCGAGGTTCACCGTTCAGCTGGGGAGTGGAAAGCCCCATAAAACCAAATGGGACTAATGAGGCACAGCAGTCCAGAGACAAGGGCCAGAAGGCAGAAGGGAACAGGAAAGCTGGTGATAGGGAACCCAAGGTTGAGTAAGGATAGTGCTGATGTGTTGTGAGGTTGTTAATCATTGTCATAGGGCAACATGTGTACTAACTGTTAAATGAGAAACTATTTTGTTCTGTAAGCCTTCATCTAAAGTAAGAATAGTAGCACAATTGGAAGAGTGTAGTCGATGTCACTGAACCGTGCATGTAGAAATTTTTGAAATGGTGGATCTTTGGCTATGTATATTTTCACCAAAAAAAAAAGGTCGAGAAGGGAGAGGGTTGACATGTTATGGGGTTGTTAACCAATGTCATAAAACAATATGTGTACTACTGTTTCATGAGAAACTATTTGTTCTGTAAGCCTTCACCTGAAGTACAATTAAAAAAAAAAAAGATTCTATAGAAGAATCTCGATCAAAAGGGGAAAAATGCAGAACAGAATCTCAAATTCTCATGGGCTCCAGACTTCCTGGAGCCATGAAGTTTGGATGACCCCCTGAAATTATTGCCCTGGGTCAACTTTAAACCTTAAACCAAAAATATCCCCTGAAGTCTTCTTAAAACCAAACAATAGTTTAGCTTATTAGTAAAAAATGTCTGCCTCAAGCATTATGTTCTTTTAAGAACTATCTAAATGGAATAAAATTGATAACCACAACTTGAAAGATCAGACAAGAACCTTAGGGGAAAGTGAATTTATGGTAACAGGCAAGGAACAACTCAGAAAAGGAGGGTGAGAATGGTTGCACAACTTGAAGAATGTAATCAATGTCACTAAATGGTACCTGTAAAAAGTGTTGAATTGGTGTATGTTTTGCTGTGTATATTCTCAACAACAACAACAAAATAAGTAAAAAAAAAAAAAAAAGAGAGGATCATATCACCTCTGTGGTATCCATGATGTTCTTTCCTAAAATGCATAACCTGAATCAAATCTTGACAAAACATCCTAAAAACTCAAACTGAGGGGCATTCTACAAAATACAGTAAAATCTGTGAAAGCTAGAACCTCTGTAAGGCAAAAACCTATGAGAAAAGGAAAATTTAAATATTTTCTACTAAAACAAGTTATAGAAAAGTGGTAAGACTGCATCCTGTCAAAGGCGGAAAACTTGTAAGAATCAGAAAAACAAGGCAGTTTCACTGAGTTCCAGCTTCCACAGGTTTCACTACATCTAACCAGTACTAAGAAGAAAGTTGTAGGAAATGGTGGTGTTACCAGGTGAAAACCCCAGGTTCTTACTCGGCATGACTCGAATTGGCCAACAAGTGAGAGACCAAGGTGGGAGAACAGGAAAGCCACCTTTATTTTGTTGTACAAGGAAATGGAGTCAGTCGGAGCTTACTGCTGCCAAGACTACTTGCCAAGGGTGGGCAGGTAAGTTATTTTTGAAGGGGTTTACAAGTAGGGAGTTCATACAAGCTACGTCAGCAACGTTCTTAATCATACTACACAGGCACAATGGGGTTCACATATAACCTCCAAGCAAAAGCAGTATCCAAATGCAAAGCTAGGGGGGTGGGAGTGGGAGCCAGCAAAGGAAACGATTTTTCAATACAACACTGTAGGGGAGGAAGCCAGTTAGAGAATACTGCACTGCAGAAGCTCTGCCTCGATGGAGCCCTAAGAGACTTAGCTTACGACGGACTCTATCTTAGGTTAAAGGAATAAGAAATGAAATATGTTTGCAGTTGCAGAGATGACCTGTGGAGAGACTGAGTTCACTGATAACAGAAGGAGGAGAGAGAGCAAGATGGAGAGAATTGTAAGTAAACTGACTCTTCCTCTATCACAGCAAGAAGCCAGATAATATCTAAATTGATAAAGCACAACCTCTAGATGGCCTAAAAGCAAAAATAGCAAAAAGGGACAACTCCAGAGAAGTGGACTAGGGGGAGGAAAAGAGTGGGTCAGGTGACTTGCTTCTCATTACGAGCACTTCTTGCATTTTGTAATTTTTTAACCACGTGAATATGTCACTTACATTATTTTTAAGAAAAAAAAATTTTCCATAAAACTGGGCAAGATTATGTTCTATAAATATTCAGAATAAAATTCCTTTTAAAATTAAATGCCCTCAGATGTACAAAATGAGTCTCAATTATAGAAGGAAAAATTCACCCATAAAAATTCTTTTGTCAGTAATCTGCCTATTGCACAAAATGAAGTACTCTTGTCTTTTGGAGAGCATTTTTCTAATTAATGTTTTGTAATTGAAAAAAGAACAACCACAACAAAT